GCCCTGCCCCCCTCCCGGCCGGTCCCTCTCCCCCTGCTCAAGTGTGTCCGGTTTTTTGGCGGGGTCTACCTGGTAACCCTACTGGGAAGGGTTTCTTAGTAACCACCAGGGCACTGACGGTGCTAGGCCCTGGTTTTCCTCTCCCTGACACCAGCATAAACCAGGGAGATCTCCAGCGACGTTACTGGAGCGACGCTGGTGTCAGTGATTCTGCAAGCCACCCCCGGCCGCTCTTAGCTCGGCTGTTGATTTCGTAACAGGGACAAATCTCGGTCGTGCACTGAGCTGAAGCCCGCTGGACACGCTCGACTTGAGACCCACGCTGGGTCTCAGCACAGATCTCCCAGGGTGCACAAATCACTCACCAGCCTCTTCACACGCTGCTGTCCGGGTTCCTCCCTTCCAATCTCCAGGACTCCTGCCAGCTGGTTGCCTTCTAAAGGCCCTTTGTACCTAAGGCTGCTGGTAAACAGGCTGGCCCTAACAAAGGGAAAGTGTGTTTGGGAAAGGGGGTGGGGAGACCAGTGGGGAGGGGAGAGTTCAGCTTCCTCGGGGAACCCTTCCACTTAAACAAGGGGCAGGAGGAGAGGCCTGCTTGGCAGAGCTTTTCCCCCTACACAGACGGAGCCAAAGACCCCTAGGCTGGAGCAATTTGCAGGGGTGCTTGAGCCTTTGTGGAGCCCTGCCCACCACAGCCCCTCCATGTTGGTGTACCTCACTGATCCCAGTGGAGATATCGCCACCTACCCAGCTCGGGACTGGTTGGAAAACAGAAAAAAACCAACCAACCAAAAACTACTCCCCCTCACACACACACACAATTTTTCCGTTGTTCCGAAGAATTTGGTCCTCGCAATGGTGCACGTGAGCGACCATTTTCCATCCACATCGTTGTTTCTCTTGTGTTCTTTCAGCATGTTGTTTGCCATTGTTACCCGAAGAGCTGGGTAAAAAAATGAACGGGGAGGTGGTTTGTGTACTTGGTAAGATTTTTCTTTTGGAAAATTCTTTCCAATTTTTTTTTTAAATTCATTTTTCAAGACCAGCCAGTGAGAAATGAAAAGGTTTGGGCAAATTTCCACTACAACTGTTGAGTAAAATATGGGGTGATAAAGGCTTTGTGGAAAATGTGAAAAAATTCAGTTTCATGAAAAAAAACCCCACACCTGATGTGAAGAAAAAAGGGCCATGTTTAGATTCACAAAATGTGCCGCTTGAGAATAGGGTTACCAGGTGGTTTCAGCAAAAATACTGGACACACTTGATATTACATCACAATCTTCATTCCATCTTATTTAAATAACACCAGACATTTCTATTTTCTTAATTTGTTTCCCGAACAGAACGCTCAAATACTGGACTGTCCAGTTCAAAACCGGACACCTGGCAACCCTAGCTATAGGTCAGGACTGGGGTGTGTGGGCAGAGCTGGATGGTGCCAGGGCTAGGACAGTAGGTATAAGTATAGGTCAGGACTGGGGTGCTTTGGCAGAGCTGGGGGGGGCAGGGCTGGAATAACAGAGGGGTGCAGGTCAAGACAGAGGAGCATTATCAGAGCTGGGTGGGTCCAGGCCTGTGGTACGAGGGGGGGGCCAGGCCAGGTGCGCTGTCAGAGCTGAGGGGCCCAGGACTGGACTACCGAGGAGGGCTAGAAGTCAGGGCTGAGCTGTGTGTGGGCTGAGGCAGCCTAGGAGTTGCTGTGGGTCATGAGAGAGACTTCTCCCATAGGCAGCTCATCTCCTGACACTAGCAGAGCACTCCTCTTTTGCTCAGCTACTTCCCCCTGTGGCCTGCCCTCCCCTGGAGGAGCTTGGGGCTCTCCTGGCCAGCAAGGGACAGGGAGGGCTTGGGGTTGCAGCTAGGGCTTGTGAGTTTTAGGGTCAGCAGATGAACTGCCT